TATTATTTTATTCGATAACAAAATAATACCATTTTTGTCCTAATGTGTAAGATGGCTTTTCAAGAAAATGCAGTTAAAATGTGATAAGTTTTTGTAAATGCTTGTAAACGTTTTTCCTAAACTTTAAGAAATATTGGAAATAAGTTTAAAAGAGTTTGGTAAGATTAGAATGTTGTATGCGAGATTGGAAGGTGCGTTCGCAAAACAAAAGAGAAACAAAAAGACTAGTAAATATGAATTGCAAATAATAATTAATCATGTGTATATTTATTTAAAAAAGTTATATCCTATAAAAAAAAATAAATTAAAAATTATCCTTACTTGCGAACACACTTTCTGCATTGGTAGCTTTTTTACGTACCGTAAACACAGAGTTTTGCCAAATATATAGTACTTATTAGCTTATAAGTCAACGAGTACACGATTATACACGAGAAATATATATATATTCGAAAAAAAAGAAAAAAATGAAGGATTATTCATTGTAATCGTTATACAGTATTTAATTCCTCATCGAATCAAAAATTGGCAATTTGATGAGAAGGAAAAGACATGTTTCTATCTAGCTATTTTATATTCGTTGCCAAAATCCGTAACCCAAGTAGCTTCCCTTGAAAAGTATTATTGCGCATCTTCCAATTTAAAAAATATTACAAATATTATTAAAGTTCGTAGGTATAAGGCATATTTTTTATGTATGCTTTTTCTGTACGCGTCAAGGAAACGTACTCGACTAATAAAGGATAAAGAACATTTTTAAGGTCAAATGATTCACGTCTGGACATTTTTTTTATTCCATTTTTTTTTAACGTAAAAATTTTATTTATTCGAGCACTATTTCTTCTTTATATTTTTAAAAATTAACGCGCATTTTGCGGTATAAAATAAAAGGAACTCGTACTAATAGGCGCGTTAAAAGTATAAAAAGCGATCGATTTATAGATTAAAATAAAGCTTAAAAATATGTCATTCAGGCCACCATGTTATCATGCATTAATAAACATATTCTATCTAAAATTCATTGGTATCATATATATCTATAATATCCTTATCGAATATGTAATTATAAGCTATTACCTGTCATGGCACTGCATTTTTTCTTACTTTAAAAATACGTAGCTGAATGTTAATGAAAAATGTATATAAAATTTATTTTTTTTTTATAACATAGCGAACGTAATAATATTTACTTTTGCAATATTTTTATGTATCTAACCTTGTAGGCTCTTTTAATTGCAACATATACTACAATCTAATATTATTATCACACTTCAATCCCTATATTCGAATGTTTACCTTTCTTTATTAACATTTGTTCCACATTTAATTGTGGCGGTTCTGTTCGTGTATGCCATACATACACCTAACAAACAAAAACGGAATTACTTAATTTACATAAGAAATAAAGAATTTAAAAATTAACAAGTTAAAAGTACCTTTGTACAACAATCTGCTAATGGTTCCAATTCCTTTCTAGTGATGATTTGAGACAAAATTTCACTTTCCTGATATCCACCTTGAACGTCATATGAAAAAACAGCATTTTTATTTTCTAATAAAAGTTGCAAATTGATTGCAAAACCTGCCATATCTAATGGGAATGGACGATCTGGCTTCCAGGCAGCATTAAAACCAATTATTGTATTAGTCATATTATCACATATCGGTTTCTCAACCATTAAACCACCAACTAAACCCACTGGCCAAACGCCGACTTTATTTATTTTTTCCATCTGGAACATATCTAGATTATATAATGATTTCATGATTAAAATAATCGCTCGATTTGTATCATTAATGTTCTTACCTCGTGAAATAATTTAATCGAATACGTATTGTCATCATCTGCAAAATATACTATTCCTTTGTCAGTTAATTTAAGATTTTCTCGAAGCCATCGTAATGCCGCATTTCGTTGTTCGACTCCACGCGGCTTTTTCCAATTCGGATCATTTCGACCTAATTTATAATTAGGTGGAGTTATTGCAGATAAATGCGTATAAATTAAACCACTATTCTCTAAAAATCGTGTAACAAGATTCGTCTTTCTTTCCGCATCTTCGACAACGATCCAATGAAAATTTGGTATATGCAAAAACGTCTGCGATAATCGTGTTAGTTCAGCTTTTTGTACAGGTCTGGTAAATGTGGGAGTGATGGCATAAATAGTAGGTTTCTTTGTGAGATCCTGTTTTCCTCCATTGAGCATATTATGTCCCTCTAATCTCTTAATTACACTATATGTTAACCCATATATATCTCGTTGTTCAACAATTATTGACTCCAGCGTGTTTCTTAATTCTTGCCATTTATAACGCTCTTGATAATCTTTGAAACAAAAATATAAAAATTATAATGATATAAATTATAATAAATGAATAAATTTATAATTTTAATAAAATTGCAAGACAGTAATTTCAAATACTCAAATATATCTAATTAATTGAATAATAAAGCTTGTTCGGAAAAAAAGGAGAAAATTCGTAATATAAAAAACAAATTAAGATAACTTATAGAAGAAATTTATTTGAATAAATTATAATGAGCATGCGTAAAAATTATGACAAGAAACATATGATATAGGTCATGCATTTTTACATGCATGGAAACTAGATTTGTTAGAAAAGCTGTAATGAACACTATGTGATATCAAACAAATACTTACATATAAAACATTGAAATGCAATAACATGAATCAGGAACAATATTAGGAAGCCCCTGTTATAACGAAATCCACCCCACATATTAAATTTAGTACCGAATTCGTCGGTCAGAAATGTACGTTCTGTCATTATGTCACGCCATGACACTCTGATGATATTCTTCTACAATCACCGATTGTATTTAACTAGTAATAATCTTCTATAGATTTATAATATATTCTAACCTCGAATACAAGGACATATTATATGTCATCTCATAATATCGAATATTAATTGAAAAGTAATCACAACATCCAACTGTATGTATTATTAACAGTTTAATTATAGCTGCGACTGAAATTGTAAAATAATAATGTTTTATTCACACAAAATTCACTTATAATTTTCATAGATGAATTACGAATACAAGATGAAAATTTTTTCCTGATCATTATAAACTTCACAGAGTATAATTTCATAAATAAAAAATAGACGAGTTTACGCGACAGGTAAAGATGACAGGTTAGTTTTTTTACACGAAAAAGTCCCTAGATTATATCTAATTCATAACTTGCATAGAATTCTTGGCGCCAAATTTTAAATAAAAATATTTATAATATATTTTATTAACACGAAGAAAAAAGTAATAGTAAATAATATACGAATAATTTTAACAAAAAAAAAAAAACAAAAATTATAATATATTCTAAAATATATTAATGATTATCAATATTAATATTTTATAAAAAATCTTTCTTCTTCTAATACATTTAATAAAACTTTCCTGCCAAATACGAAAAATTTCTGACATCAATAATTAAAAAGTATTTTTGCTGATTTTTACCTATTTATCTTTTCCTTCTCGAAAAGATAAATTCCCTAGTCGACGCATCGAAAGCAGCGACACCGACTATAGTCGAATGAATTCAGACGCGTGCAATACGAGGCGCGCGTAGAAGGGCGCATGCTGGGATGTGTCACGGACACGCGTGTGTCACGATCGCGCATACATTTATGTCGTGACTGGCCAGAAGGCGCCGTGGCGGGACGAAAGGGGGCGGCATTCGAGGCTTAGGAGAGCAGACAGGCGCGTAGATAGGCCAGCTCACGGTGGAGTTTCCGCAGCGAGCTACGGAATCATCCCATGCTCGTAGGTCGCCGCGTGTTGCTCGCGTTCAGAGAGTTCCTCGTCGATGGTCACGCGATGTGTCAACGCGAATAGTGACCGTCAGAGCCAACACTTGACAACGCCACTCGATCGTAACTCGTTCGAATATGATGGTGCAATGAATTCTTACGGAGTTTAATCGCACGACAGCTTCTATAGATAAAGAAAATCCCGCGTAACTCCGTTTGCAAACTGGTTGTCAGTATCGAGACGACACGACGTAGCTGCTGTGCCTGCTACTCGTGGTGGCGAGTGGCAGTGGTAGTGGTGGTCGTAGCGGTAGTGGTGGTTTCCTATCGTGGTGGTGTCCGTTGGCAGTCGAGAATCGTATCGTGGTGGTGGTGGTGGTAGTGGTGGTGCTGTCAGAGTAGTGCTGCGCCTCGTTCGACGACGGTGGCGAGGGAGAGAAGGAAAAGTGGCCCTCGAGGTTACGAGGCCAGAGGAGAAAGTGGGTGTTGCCGGAGTGACAACGGGAGGATCATCCGGGTCCTCGACGCCAGGACTCGTGGAACAGAGGAATCGGTGTGTAGGATGCTCGTCGGTCATCGCTCTAGGAGTCGACGTCTCCTAACCGAGAGCCTGATCCTTGATCGTGTGCCTCGTGAGTATCAATGATTTTCTTCGAGGACACACATTTCTTTCCAACGTGTACATTTCTTATCATATCGCCTCGATAACTGACTAATATCGCTTCTATCCACGATTATTTATCTTCCATTATTTAAATTAAATTCTAAATAAAATAATTTCATCATCATTCGTGATTGTCATAATAAATACTACGCGTATATCCATCAATAAGATTGTTTAGTTTCCCTCGACAAGAGACATTTAGTTCGACGAAGGAAATAGAGGTCGGATGCAAATTACGAGCGTGGACGAGGTGGTGCGAGCGATGGGCACGGTAATTGGGGCGAGGGGACGCTGGCTCCGGTGGGCGAGGGGGAGCGAGGATGCGTTGGATACTTCCCCCTTTTGCATCCTCTTCCTCGTTTACACCATCTCCCCTTTCTCCCGCAGCAATTCTCCTTCTTTCTCTTCGCTCGCGTTTTTCGTTCTTCTTCTTCTTTCCAACCCCCGCCCTCGCAGTCGGTTCTGTAAACAGGAGTCACTGGCGCGTGAAGTACATGGGCGTAGGTAAAACTCGACTCCACCGGTGCGTCGAGATTTTTTTTTTTTTTTTTTTTTTTTTTTTTTTTTTTTTTTTTTTTTTTTTTTTTTTTTTTTTTTTTTTTTTTTTCTCGACGTAACGAGGGACGGTGGTGTCATCGTGCACAACGATGACTCTGGTGCGGTGCCCTTTCCGCTTCACTTTCCGCGTGCCATCTCCGCGGCCCTCGTCTCGTTGGATAACAGTGGTATACACGAATACCAGAAATAATACTCGAGGCTCGTCGACCGGCCGAGTAGTCGAGAACATCCCCCCACCCCCCTTCGTTTCGTTCTTTTCCCAGTAGTGTGCACTGGCCTCGATTAGTTTTCGCTTAGAGAGAGAGAGAATTGTGACCGGATTATTCTTTTTCCTTTTCTCTATCTACCTCTCTCTCTCTCTCTCTCTCTTTCTTCCTTCCTCCTTTTTCTCTTTTTTAAGGGTAGCATAGAGGGGAGAACGGAAGGGGTGCGCTAACGACGTCACCGTGTCGAGTGAGTCACGGCTTCTAAATTGATCCCCCACCATAGTTGCTCTTCCTCCTCTTCCTCCTCTTGTGTCCCCTACTTCCTCTTGCTTTTACTCCACCTATTCCAGCTTTTTCCTCTCTCTCTCTCTCTCTCTTTCTCTCTTTTTCCCATCCTCATCCTATCGCTCGACCAGCATCACTCTATCCTTTTCCGACTATCCATCTCGTTTCACTTCATCCCCATCAACGAAGCGGAGCGCGTTGATTTAATCCCCGATGCAACGTGCCCTCCGATTTACGCGACGAGTAAATATGCCCGGCCAAGAGGGAATGATCGTGGCCGAGGTCGTTCTCCATCGGGCAACGTGCCTCCTAACTCACGCTCGTTCAATAATTTCGCAAGGTTACGGAGGAACTGCCGATAACACGCGGACGGTTTCGCAAGAATGATCGATCTCTTCGATTCCGGGTTGGGGTCAACCACGGGACAGTCATACCAACGACGATATTTTCGACCTCTTGTGCTCGTTGATAGTTAAGTTTACTTGTTATCCCGCATACGCCGGAGTCAAGACGAGATAAGATTAAATCGTGGATGATATTGCGTGATGACGTTGTACGTGTACTTGTCTCGTTATCGGATGATAACGAGTAATTGAGAATGGGATACAAATTGAGAGGGATTTCCTTTGGAAATTTCGCATTAATTGCGTGGATATGTAATATTAACGTTACTAAAATGGGATATATATATATGTATGTTTTGTTTCTTATTCGTTGAACGTTTGTTAAATATAACCGTATTTGCAATGCAAATAGTCTCGTTAATGCATAAGAAATAAAAGTTCGTTTGATCGGGATCTTTGACTGGTAAAGAACACGAAAAGCTGACGTTTAACGTGTTGAGAATGATTTAAGAGCAGATTGGTTATCGTTGAATTTATGATTGAATTAGTCGAGGTTTAGATTTAAAAGTGATTTAATGAATGGGCATTGCACGAAAACTTTGGATTTAAAGTAGAAAACTATTGAATATGTTTAAATAAACGTTCTTTTACCTTACGATTTCTTTAATGGGCACTTTAACAAAAGGTGTTCGTTATTATATCAGGAATTGTAATATTGAGATATTACACGTAATTTGTATGTGATAATCTTCTATTTGCAGAACCTACATAAAGTTAGAGAATAGACTTTGTTGCGAGTAAGACCTGAAATTATTGGATCGAAACTTCTTGATGTATCATAAATTATTCTGTTACGAAATGCTTTTTAACAAGAATAATTGATGATAATTGTTTCAAAATAGATTTATATATTTTCTGATTGTCATTACATACTAGAGAAAGGAAATTATATAACGATATTTATTTTGTATAATTATGGAAAAATACTAAAGATGTTTATTTATTATAAAATAATAAGATAATAAATAAACTCTTTAGAGAATGTAATCTCTTATGGAGAATTTCTCATAAAAATTTGGATAATTTAAACAAAAAGATTTACCAAAATATTTCTTTAGAAATATATGTAATGATAATTGGCAATGGATTTTGCAAAAATATAATGAAATAAAATTTTACATCGTGTACACGATATCAATTCTTTTTTACTTTCAATCCATTATAAAGTCACTTCTCATTTCCCTCAATATGCTTTTTGCATGACATAACGTATCTTTAAATCTTGCAGCTTTTAGAGGCAACGAGTTCTTTCCTATTAGTGCTTTATTTTTCATAATCTATCAGAATTTTCATCTTTTTACAAGTGAAAAATCATCTCTTCGTTCCTTCTTTTAATCTTTTCAATTCTGACGAACCACAAATTACAATATCTCCTAATTTTACAATCATTACTGATATATTTGCTTGTGATAAGATTAAATAATAATCCATATCACATATTTAACTCGTTACGTTACGAGCATAATTTATACCATCAATGAATCGTATCACGTTTAAAAAGGGAGAATACTAGATTCCACAAGCTCTCTCGTATCAACCAGAAGAGAACGTTTCATGCACTCTTCAAGGAAGTAAATATTTCCCATTACCCCGGTTTTTCAATCCAGTCAAAGAGAGAAAGAGAGAGAGAGAAAGAGAAAGAGAAAACGAACCAACGGTTTTGCGTTTCCGAGCATTTCCCCGGTTTCTCGTTTGCCCGGAACACAATTCACGGATTCCAACCCCCTACCCTGTTTAAGTTACGTTTTAATGTAAACCCTGTGTGTTCCCTTTTGACCCGAACCCCATCCATGCGCCGGCTGTTTTCTCATTAAGGAATGGAAAAGTATCTTACAGCGTATATACACAACGTGAAAATAAGAAAGAAAGAAAGAAAGAAAGAAAAAAAAAGAAGAAAAAAAAAAAAAGAAAGAAAACGAAACCTCGCCACGTCACAGCCACGATTCATTACTAGACAACTCGCTGAGCGGCCATTCGTGACAATATGACGGGATGAATATCACGGAAATATCGGGGAACGCTTGGGCGGCCAGAGAGGAATCCATTATCGAGCCTTAGTATCTCTCCTCTATCCATTTGTCCGCCGGTTCTTTATTTCTTTCCCGATGATGCTTTATTAGCGTCTCGTTTCCACGGGATGAATAGCTGTTCCGGTGGTGGTGGTTGGTGGCGCGACTGGTAGGGGTTGAAAATCGTCGTCAGCTCGCGAATTCAATGGCCGCGAGCACCGCGAGTCCCGGTAATTTCTTCTCTTCACGGATTAAACGATCGTCGATCGTCGAGATTGCATTTCGCTGATAGAGGGAGAGGGAGAGGGAGGGGAGG